GCAGATTCTGTAGCCTCCAAAGGGCTCATGAAACAAAATATGTCCAGAGCCAGATAGTGGACCAATGAGATTTTAGACATACTTCTCAAATCTCATGTGGAGATACGGGGGCACTCTAACTTAGAGTCATCTAACAGAGCAGAATTTCACTAGTGATAGAGTGGTGGTCCACGCTAGTGCCACTGAAGAGACCCCATTGCCCTAGACAATAACCCAGAGACAATAGACCCAGAGCCTAGTAATAAGCTTTGTTTCTATTTATTTAGTATACAGAGTTTGGTTTATGACTAGTTATTATTATCCCTTCCTGATTTAACTAATATGAATTGGGTCATTTGCAACTTAGAACTCTAATTTATACCATTGTCTACATATGAGAACATAAACTGGGGCTGGAGCGATAGCACAGCAGGTAGGGCGTTTGCCTTGCATGCGGCCGACCCGGGTTCGATTTGCAGTATCCCATATGGTCCCCTGAGCACTGCCAGGAGTAATTCCTGAGTGCAGAGCCTGTGCATCGCTGGGTGTGACCCAAAAAGCAAAAAAAAAAAAACCAAAAAACATAAACTACCTCAGACAGGAGAGATAGTACAGTGGGTACTTATACTTAGCAGTACTTATAATACTATATGAATACTTATATAATACATATATGTATATATATACTTATATAATACATATATGTATATGTATATGTGTATTATATAAGTTTTCACTCGGGGTGCCCCAGAAGGGGGCAGGTGAGAGCCCTCCCTGCACCAAGAGACCCAGCCCCAGCAGCCGACCTCCACTACCCAACCAACACAACGTTCCAGGCTGCTTTCTGGACTGTACGGACACTTCCTACCCATTTTCCATAATTACTACACCATGTCTGATGGAGTTCAGACAATAGGCAACAAATCATAGAGAGAAATATATGTATATATATGCCTCTTGGAGAGCCCGACAAGTTGCCAAGAGTTTCCCACCTGCACGGGCAAAGCCTGGCAAGCTCCCTGTGGTGAATTCAATATGCCAAAACCAGTAACTATAACAGGTCTCATTCCCATGACCTTGAAAGAGCCTCCAATCGTTGGGAAAGATGAGTAAGAAGAGGCTGCTCAGGGCTGGGACAAATAGAGACGTTACTGGCGCCCACTCGAGCAAATGGATGAACAACGGGATGACAGTGATACAGTGATATGTATATCACGGTCCTCCCGTTATTCATCGATTTGATCGAGCGGGCCCAGTAACATCTCCATCGTGAGACTTGTTGTTACTGTGTTTGGCATATCAGATACGACACGGGTAGCTTGCCAGGCTTTGCCATGTGGGCAAGATACTCTAGTTAGCTTGCCGGGCTCTCTGAGAGGGGCGGAGGAATCGAACCCGGCTCGGCCGGGCTGGCTGTATGCAAGGCAAACGCCCTACCGCTGTGCTATCGCTCCAGCCCATGTATATAATACTATATATTATATTATTATATTGTAATATATAGTATTATGTGTATTATATGTTATACAAATATACACACACACTAACTTTACTTAGGTATACTAGACAGCAACCATTCTAAGCTGCTCTCTTTCTTTGATGCTCTTCCCATGTGGGAGTCTTTTCGTTTCTCTACTATGTTTTTTTTCTTTTTGGGTCATACCTGGCAATACTCAGGGGATTACTCCTGGCTCTGCACTTAAGAATTACTCCTGGCGGTGCTCAGGGGACCATATGGAATGCTGGGAATTGAATCCAGGTTGGCCATGTGCAAGGCAAACGCCCTACCTGCTGTACTATCACTCCAGCCACTCTCTGCCACCTGTTTTTTTATTTTTTAATTTAAAATGTTTTTTTTTTATTATTTTTGGCTTTTTGGGTCATCACCCGGTGATGCACAGGAATTAGTCCTGGTGGTGCTCGGGGGACCATATGAAATGCTGGGGATCGAACCTGGGTCAGTTGTGTGCAAGGCTAATGCTCTACCTGCTGTTCTTATTGCTCCACCTCCCAGCCTCTCTGCAACTTTTAATCTCCTGTCTGGTAGCCAGTTTTCAGGGGCCATTTGACATTGTTCACACCTGTTCTTATCTGCAACCCAGGGGTTGTGACTTAGGGATAGAGCACTTGTTTTGCATGTTTGAGGTCAGGGGTTTAATCCTCAGTACTGGAATAAAAATAAAGAGTTGCTCCTAGAAAATTTTTATAAGTACATATTGTAATCTAAATTTTTTAGATAGTTCCCTTAAGATATACATTTAAAAAGTATTTTATGGAGTTGGGGAGATGGCTCAAAGAACTGGAGCAGACTGCACGTGGGAGGTGTTGGATCAGTTCCCCAAACAGATGGTCCTTGGAACATACCGGAAAGCAACCCCCTACGACTAAGCCACTAAAGTACAGCATGTAGGGTGTTTGCCTTGCATATGTGGCCGACCTGGGTTCGATCTCCAGCATCCCATATGGTCCCCTGAGTATTGCCAGGAGTAGTTTCTGAGTGCAGAGCCAGAGTAACACCTGAGCATTTCTGGGTGTGATCCCAAAAGCAACAAAACAAAACAAAACAAAACAAATCTGACCCTCTCGGGACCAGTTTTTAATCATGGCTTCTACTGTGGAATAAACACTTCCCTTGTTATATTATAGTTTGATTAATTCTCAGTTATATTCACAACAATTAGTTATCCGACTCAAAAAACCAATAGTGCTAAGATTGAGAACCCTTGCTATATAATAATTAAGTCAAACAAATATCTTATTGGTACCATCTTAGGTAATTTTGTTGGTTTTGGGGGTTACACTTGGCAGTGCTCAGATATTACTCCTGCTTAGTGCTAAGAGATCACTATTTGTGGTGCTTGAGGGACCGTATAGGGTTCTGGGGATAGAATTCTGACTGGCTACATGCAAGGGAAGTGCGTTACCCACTATACTATTTCTCTAAACCGAGGTAGTTTATGTTCCTGTATGTAAACAATGGTACTGTGATGTATCATCCCGTTGTTCATCGATTTGCTCGAGCAGATCCAGTAACGTCTCCATTGAAGACTTTGTTGTTACTGTGTTTGGCATATCGAATACATCACGGGGAGCTTGCCAGGTTCTGCCGTGTGGGCGAGATACTCTCGGTAGCTTGCCGGGCTCTCCGAGAGGGGCGGAGGAATCGAACTCGGGTCGCGCCATGTTGGCTGCGTGCAAGGCAAACGCCCTACCGCTGTGCTATCGCTCCAGCCCATGGTACTGTGATAGTGGTATAAATTGTGTGTGTGGCAGATGCAAAGGCAAACGCCTGTCTTGTGACAGCACATTCAGCTTCAAATATATCGTTTAAGGGAATGGGCACCTCGGGCAGGGGGCCTGTACCTGGGAGATGAACAACGGGAGGACAGTGCTTTATTGAATAGCCAGTCAGATATAGTTATAAGCTGTTCATGATGGATTTCAGTCATACAGCATTCCAACACCCTTCCCTTCACCAGTGTACATTTCCTGCCACCAGTGTCCCAAGTTTCCTTCCTGCCCACCCAATCTCCTGCCCCTGCAGCCTCTATGGCGAAAACTTTTCTTCCGTTTCTCTCTTTTCTTCTCATTTTTCCTTTTAGGCACTGTGGTTTGCAATACTGTTACTGAAAGGATATTCTCAATGCTTATCACTTCACCTCCTTTTAGTACTGTTTTTGTCCAGAGTGATCACTTCCAACTATCATTGTCCTAGTAGTCCATCTCTGTCCTATCTACATTCTCCCCTCCTATTTTGTGGCAAGTTTCCTACCATGGGCCTGTCCTCCTGGCCCTTATTTATTTCTACTGTAGGTCTTTGGTTATCATTCACATACTATTTTTTTTATGTTGCAAATGAGTGCAATCATTCTATTTGTCCCTCTCCCAACAAAAGTTTTGCAGTTTCACAGACCTCGATTCTCTATTCTAACTTGGAAAAAATCTGTCAAATTTCACAATTGAGGGGGCTGGAGCCATAGCACAGCTGGTAGGGTGTTTGCCTTGCACACGGCTGACCCCAGTTTGATTCCCAACATCCCATATGGTCCCCTGAGCACCGCCAGGAGTAATTCCTGAGTGCATGAGCCAGGAGTAACTCCTGTGCATCGCTGGGTGTGACCCAAGAAGAAAAAAAAAATTTACAATTGATTGTTCATTTTGAAGTCACTAAGTCCTTCACCGTGACTTCGGTTATTATTGGATCTCCGCATCAGTAAAGTGGTAGAGAACCAGGAGGAAAAAAAAAAGTAACCCAATAGTTTAAAAAAAAAATCATTTAATTTCAATGCTCTGAAATCCAGAAGGTTAGGGCTCCCCGCTAACCAGGCGGCAAAGTCGTGAGGATTTGGGTGAAAGAACAGGTGCTGGTCCAGGGTAAGACCCTCAAGGGCTGGGATAGATTCGCGTTTTCTTTCAGGTCAAACGTCACAATCCCCAGACTTCGGCGGGGAGTCAGGAAACCTAACTGCGAGCGAAAACCAGGACCCAGGGAGAGCGGGTGGCCGTGAGGGCCGAGAGGGAGGTTGGCGGCAGGAGGCACCGAACCTCTGGTGCGGAGGAAGGCATCTGAGGACAGGAGCATCCGGGTGAAAGTGGGGCCCAAACGAACAAAATTTCAGTTCCCTCTCCTCGACTCGGGTTTTGACTCCAGTCGGGTGGGCCGACTCCAGGCGGGCGGGGGTGGGGGTGGGGAGGGGGCTGCGGAGCTCGGCCCGCCCCGAAGTGAATCGGACCGTACCATCGTGCTCTCCGAGGGGTGGCCGCCGGTCGCGGGCCGGTTCCGCCGAGAGCAGCCCGCGGTCTCCGTCCTGCAGACGGGGGCGCGTACATCCTGCTCACGTCTCCCGGGTAACTGGGGGCGCCCCTCCGTCCGCTCGGCCTCGGGCGCCCCGGTCCTCGCGCTCAGCCCAGACGCGCCTCCCCGGCCGCCGCGCGCGTGGTGCGGTCCCCCCTCCCGCGGCAGGAGGCGGGGCGCCTACATAAGCCCCGACGCAGGAGGCGGGGCCGCCCAGTCCTCGCGGCGTCGGCGCTCCGCGGAGTCGGGTTCTGGTTGCTTGGCGGCCTCGGCGCGCGTGCGCGAACATGGCCTCAAACGGTAAGCGAGGGCGCGAGGCGGCGGGGGCGCGCCGGCCCGCCCGGGGCCCCGTTGCCTGGCGGCGGGGCTTGTGTGTGCCGGCGGGCCGGGGGCGGCCGTCGCCGCTAAGTTCCTTCCCGCCCCGCGGTGGCGGGAAGCCGCGGGAAGGGGCGAAGGGGAGGCCGATGTCGCCATTTTGTTTGCCTCTTCAGGAGCCCCGCGCGGGTTCGGGAGGCCGCCCCTGCGCGGCCCCTCTCCTGGAGGCGAGGGCTGGAGGGAGGCGCGTCTCGGGGCTGTGAAACGTGGGACCGGCCGGGACGGACGCGCGCGCGCCGCAGGCGGCCTTCGCCGCCCGGGCTGCCCGGCCCGCTCGGGCCCGCTTTGTCGCAGTGCTGCATCCGGGCACTCGCCGCGCGCACGCGCCCTGCCGGCCCCTCCCCCCGGGCGCGCGCCCCCTCCCGCCTCGTGTCGGCCCCGCTTTTTGTCGCGAGACCCTCGGCCGCCCGCTCCGCCGCGCGCGTCCGGCGCGGGGCTCGCCCCCGAGGCCCTTCGGGAAGGGGCGGGACCGCCCCGTTCCCGCCTGCTCTGCCACGCGGCGGGGGCGGAGGCTCGCGCAATCACGGCGCTGGGGGCGGTTTGGGGGTCGTGCGACGAACTCGGGGGCCGGACCCTCTCGGTATTCGCGCCTCAAATCACGCCTTCTGGCCTGGGGGCCGAGGGAACGGCCGCCTGGGCCACACCCTCTGCGGGCCCGGGAGCCCAGGCCCGCGGGGGACGCGCCTCGTTTCCGGCGCCGACCCAGCGGATCTCAGCCGCTGGCGGATCTCGATTGGGGCGTTTCCGAAGCATCCGTTGTGGCCACAGGGCAGGGGCGAGCCCGTGGGCGGTGATCTCTGACCCCGAGGGTCGTGGGGACCCTTCCCCGGGCTGCCTGGCGGTGTCTGCATGGAGAAACCCCTTCCCGGGCCCTGAGGTTGGCGGAGGGGCAAGTGCCCCTGCGTGCGCTTAGCGGGCAGCGGAGGCCGCCGCGGCGGGTCGGGGTGGGGGTGGGGGTGGCGGTTCAGCCTGCGGTGGTGCGTGGAAACGGGCCTGTTGTGGCCCGGAAGAAAGGGCGCTGCCGGCCTCCGGGTTCGGGTTGACTTCCTGTCTGGGTCTGTGTTGAGCGATCAGCTCTGCCCTTCCCGTGCATGGCCGAGGGTAATTGTTCCGTTTTGTCTTTTGCAGACTATACCCAGCAAGCAACCCAAAGGTAAGTGTCTTTTCTGTGGCTGCCGCTGGGGAGAGGGCGGGAAGGCGCAGGCGTCGGTCCTGATGGAAATGCTTCCCTCCTCTCCAGTTACGGGGCCTACCCCACCCAGCCGGGTCAGGGCTATTCCCAGCAGAGCAATCAGCCCTACGGACAGCAGAGTTACGGGGGGTATGGCCAGTCGGCGGATACTTCGGGCTACGGCCAGAGCAGCTATGGCTCTTCTTACGGACAGACCCAGAACAGTGAGTGCCTTCCTGCCTCTCCGCCTCTGCCTGCCCTTTCGACCTATAGTCCCAGGATGCAGCAATGCTGGGGGTTTCTCCGGCCTCGCTGGCGGTGTGGGGGATTGAACCTAGCCTTTGCGCTTGCGCACCCTGACCTTGACTCAACCCAGGAATGTTACTTTATAGCCCAGGTAGTGCTGGGAAACTACTAACCCTGGTTTTCATTAAATCCTTTGGAATCAGTCCTGTCCAACAAAAATGTTTGTTGACTTGTAATTCTTTGGTTTATTTTAAGCCCACACCTATCAGTGCTCAGGGCTTGCTTTTGGGGGGATTCTGGGGAACATGGGGTGCCAGGAATCGAACTACAGTCAGCCATGCGCAAGGCAAATTGTACTATTTCTCCAGCTCCTGACTTGTAATTCTTGACTTATTTCCCCTTTGGTCTTTCTGGTGCTGGGGGTTGTTGAGCTCTCTGTCCTGCCCCTCTCCCTTTGTTTTCTTTGATTTTTGACTCTCTTCTTCACTCCTCTCTCACATTTGGGCCACACCTGGCTGTGTTCAGGATTTAGTTCTCTGGGGCCATAGGGTGACCAAAAGTCAGTTTGCCACGTGCCCACCAGCACCTTACTGCTATGCTCTTGGGCCCTTAGACATTTTGCATTTCTATTTTCTATTTTCTGGTTTCTGGGCCATACCGGTGATTCAGGTAGGACCATATGGGATGTCAGGCATTGAACTGGAGTTGGCTACATGCAAGTCAAGAGTCTTACCCAGTATATTATTTATTATGAAAGTTTTATTTAGGGATGAGTTTGTTTATCCTCACATCCACAACTCAGACCTGGCACACATCAAAAAATAAGATCAACCACTGCTGGGGGTGGCAAGTGGTACTGAGAATCAAACCCAGTTCTGCATGCAAAATATGTGCTCATATTTGAGATCTGGTTTTGGGTGTGGGGTTGTAAGAATTCGCTTCTGAGAGGGTGATAACAATGTGGGTGATGATTAGGTAGTATTTAATGTTTCCGTAAGCCCGTAACTGGTTGTTTCTCTCTGAGTGTTTGTGATTGTGTTTTCTTTGACGCAGGCTACGGCACTCAGTCCGCTCCCCAGGGATACGGCTCAGCTGGTGGCTATGGCAGCAGTCAGAGTTCTCAGTCGTCCTATGGACAGCAGTCCTCCTATCCTGGCTACGGCCAGCAGCCAGCTCCGAGCAGTACCTCGGGAAGGTAAGTGGGGGGGGGCTGTTGGTATTGCTGAGGGGAGGGGCACGTCAAGCTCAGTGCCTGGGGTTTGTTTCTGATGGTGCTCAGGGCCATGGGGTGCTGTATGCATCTAGGGAACTCCATTCTCTGCTTCCTGGGTAGGGAATGAAGTTGCGGATGAACTGAGGAGGAACGAGGAGTAATGGGCAGTTGGCGGGAAGGGGCAGTGGGCCTTCGGGTATAGAGAATGAAATGTAGTGCTGGTGAAGCTTTGGACATGCCGGCATTCTGATTGGTATTTTTGTTTCCCTTAGTTACGGTAGCAGTTCTCAGAGCAGCAGCTATGGGCAGCCCCAGAGTGGCGGCTATGGCCAGCAGTCTGGCTATGGTGGACAACAGCAAAGTTATGGACAACAGCAAAGCTCCTATAATCCACCTCAAGGTTATGGACAGCAGAACCAGTACAACAGTAGCAGTGGCGGTGGTGGCGGGGGTGGCGGAGGTGAGGAAGTGCTTTCAGCTCTGGTTCCTGCCTGTTTTCCCTAAGGATCAACATTTTACTGCTTGGGTTTTTTTTTTTTTTTGGTCACACCCAGCTATGTTTAGGGGCTCATGCATTCAGGAATTACTCCTGGCAGTGCTCGGGGGACCATATGGGTTGCTGGGAATTGAACTCGGGTCGGCCACGTGCAAGGCAAAAGCCCTACCCGCTGTGCCCCTACTGCGTGTTTCTTACCTGAAAAGTGTTCTTTAAAATCTTTTTTCCTAGTTCTCTTTTTATTGTCATTTATTTCATGTTAATCTATATTTTTTTCTGTTATTTTCCCCCAGTGTGTTTTTTTGGGGGGTTGGGGGTAGTTTGGGCCACAACCCAGCAGTGCCCAGGGGTTACTCCTGGCTCTGCACTTAGGAGTCATTCCTGGTGACTTTTGGGACCATTTGGGATTGCAGGGTTGGGGCCCAGGTTGGCCATGTGCAAGGCAAAACACCTTATCCGCTGTACTCTGACCCCTCGAGTTTTTAATTTAAGCATCTTTCCTTTCCTGACAGGTAACTATGGCCAAGATCAGTCCTCCATGAGTGGTGGAGGTGGCGGTTATGGCAATCAAGACCAGAGTGGTGGTGGCGGTGGCTACGGGGGAGGCCAACAGGACCGTGGGGGCCGCGGCCGGGGCGGTGGCGGTGGTTACAACCGCAGCAGTGGTGGCTATGAACCCAGAGGTCGTGGCGGTGGCCGTGGAGGCAGAGGCGGCATGGGGTAGGTGTCTTGTGAGCCAGGGAGTATATCAGTGGGAAGGGAGGGTTGCATGAACTTCTTCAAACCCCTTACACAGTCCCGTACTTTAGTGCATGGTCTTACTCTAGGGATTTCTGAAGGCTTTGGGGGACAGTGACTGTTGCTCATATCTACCCATTTTGTTTTTGTGATGACTTTTGGGAGATTGACAACTCCAACCCACACCTCTTGAGTAGAGATTTGAGTATTGACGCTTCAGTTTCCGAAAAAGGGGGAAACTATATGAGTGTATGGATTGGAGTCATTGATGCCATAGGCAAGAAACACGGAAGTAAAGACTTCTCTCTGCAAGGGACACAGATGAACCCACTCCTGGGAAATAGGGAAACTTGTTGCTTGTCTTCCCATGTGTCTTCTAAGGGAGTTCTCACCGGTTAATATGACTTCAGCTTCCAGGAAATGATCACTCCTCCCGTATTCTGTAGTCACTTGAGTCCACCATCCATCACTTTGACTTATGCTAGTTGGACAGTAATGATTTTGCGTGACTTGGTTTATGGGTCTATCTGAAGTGTGCAGACCTTTCGTATTAGTGCCCCATCAACATTCCCCACTGCCCTCTTTCCTTGGTTACGTGTCCCGACTGGACCTCTTTCCTTCCCATTGTAGCTGATTTGAATTAATCAAACCTTAGATTTGATGTTAAAACAGTTGTCAAATCTGTGCTATGTAGGATTTCAAAGGACCCTCATGTCTCTCCCTTGGAAGGGGGAGGAATGTCTGTGTTTCTTTTATGGGGAAAGTTTTTTTTTTTTTTAAATTTGTGTATGGTAAGTATTCAGAGGTGGGTGGGGGAAGTTTCAAAAACCATACCAAAGTAAGGAAAACACTGTTGTGTGTGTGTGTTATATGAAAAACTTAAAAAAAAAAAAAAGAAAAAGAAAAGAAAAACAACTGTTATGTGACTGTTAACTTGCTCTGCATTTTATGTGCCACAGGTATGAAAGGTGACATTGCAAAATACTCGGCTCTTCTCACAGTGTAGAAGGGGTGACCCCGGGGGCGGGGGGAATCCAAACAACTCAGTAGTTAGGGTAGGGCCTAGCTAAGTCTGTCTTGCTTTATGGGGAAGTTGCCTTTGGTTTTGACTTTTTACGGAATGGGGTTGGGTCTGCTTGCTGCTTTCAAAGCAAAAAAACCATAAAAAATGTGTTCAGGGCTACCCCAGCCTGGTGTGCATTGTCTTCTGGGTCAATTGGGGGTAGGGTTTTTAAACCAAACATTGGGTTAGCCACTTGCGACAAGAGGAAAAAACATCTACATCTGAAGAAGGACCAAGGAAAATTGGGTCTTTTTTTTTTTTTTCCAGAGGAAATAGATACATAAACTTTTAAAGCAAAATCCTTAAAAGCTGTGTCTGAGAAATTGCACACGAGTGTGACATGCTCCAAGGTCAGACAAGGGGTGGTCAGGAAGGAGAACATATATTAGTAGCCACTTGTACCTTTTCCCAAAGCACCCACTCATGTTTGGGGAATGTTAAAAACAAAATCAAAAACCCGCCCTTTTGTAGCCGTTGGAAGCTTCATGTCCTTTCTTCTAACTTGTCTTCTCCAGCGGAAGTGACCGTGGTGGCTTCAATAAATTTGGTGGTAAGTGAACAGAGTTTCCAAAATTCCCAACTCCCGGCAATGCTTTGTCTGATTGTTCATTTGCAGATGTCTTAGCGTGTTTTAAGTGTCCCAGGTTTTGAAGTGTCCAGTACCACCTCCAGAACGGGGTGGGGTAGAATGCCACCTGCTGCTGGATGTGTGCTAAAAGGAGGCAGGCAGGGGTAACACTCGGCAGGCGTCTGGTACCAAATTGGTTTGACCCAGGTTAATGAGAGGTGTCTAGTAGGCCTCCGACAGGAGTGTGGCCGCACCTGGCACTTAGTAACCACCATGACAAACTGGAGAGTGTGTGCTGGAACACTGTGGTGCCAACTTGGCTTTAGGGCCCTTTTGATCAGTGTGTCCCAGGCTAGTGTGTGTGTGCGCGTGTGTAACATCTTCGAAATGTCTTAATTCTGGAAGAGATGTGAAATATGGCCCTGCCCGGAGGATGGTGAAGTTGGTGTTTATATATTAAATGCTGGATGGTATCACTACATTACAATTCTACATCTATGTACTTAATCTCAATTCCGATGGGCAAATTTATAGAAACTAGATCTGGGAAGGAAGGTGTGGACTTCAAGAAAGGTTGGGAGCGTGTGGCTCCTGGGAAATCACCAGGTCTTAACAGCACAAGAGGAATTTGTGGGAAAATTTGAGAAGTCTCCCAGTAAGCTGGAACTTTTCTGGTTTGGTTAACAAAAAGGTTTCTTGAAAGATTTGTCTCAACATTTTAAGCCAAAGGCTTGGGTTCATGATTCTTAGGTGTCATTGAGTGTGGGTACAATATTTATGGTGAATTCAGATAAACTTTGGTCAAAGATACGGTCTCTGGGGGGAAAAAAAAGAGGCTGTGTTAATGGAAATACGGTTTCTGGTCTGTTCCCTGGGAGATGATTTAAAAATATAGCTATCATGTATGTTTTTTTTTTAAATTATTTTCATGTGGTTTTGGGGAAACAACATGGTTTTAAGAATGGTTTTAAAGACGAAATTAAAAATTGTTCACAAGGGATAAGTGTTTGGTGTTTGGAGAAACTGGATGGATGCACATCACATTGCTGGTAGTAAGCCCATTTCTCTGTGGCGTGAGAAAATAGGGCCAAGCTCTGAGTTGGTTTGGTAACTTCACTTGGTCTCCCTCCTGCTCCCTTCATCTTCCCAACCCCCCAAATCTGCTGAGGACATTTTCCAGCCTGAGCTGGGGGAGGCAGCATTTTCTGAAGTGTGGAGTTGTCTCTGTGGGGACTCAAGTTACAGATCCTAAGAACAGCCAGCTGTGTCTTCCCAGCCCTGCCTAGGATTTTCTCCTCTGGGTAGCACCCAGGAGGACAGGGTTTGGAGTGAGGCTGTGAGCACTTAACCTGATAAAAATTGTAAGGATTTGAATTTGGTGTTGATTTTTTTCTGTGTCTGTCCTTTGACTAATGGCACCTCTTTTCCTTGTTTTTTTGTTTTTGTTTTGTTTTGTTTTTGTTTTTGTTTTTTCATGTCATTTAAGGCCCGCGGGACCAAGGATCACGTCATGACTCCGGTGAGTCTGCATGTGTCATGGAAGTCTAGAAGTAAACTGGTGCTCCAGGCTTTTACTCCCTGAATGTTTCAGGAATCTGAAAAGGAGCATTGATGAGGAATGCATTGAGGAGGAGGAAGATGGGTGTGGGGTGGGTGGGTGGAGGGAGCTTCAGCAGCAAATGAGCTGAGGAATGAGCATATATCTGAAGGGTTTTCACCCCTGGCAATTTAGTAGGCCTGGGAGAAGCCTGAAAACCTGCCTCTGACAAATTTCTGGAGATGCTAGTGCATCTCCAGAAATAGTGGGTCACACATGTAGATAATGACCCACCAAATTAATGAACAAAAAGGTAGTGTATCTTAAAAGCAGTTGGAAGAGGGGCTGGAGCAATAGGACAGCGGGGAGGGTATTTGCCTTGCATGCAGCTGACCCAGGTTCGATCTTCAGCATCCCAGATGGGCCCCTAAGCACCATCAGGAGTAATTACTGAGGGCAGAGCCAGGACTAACCCCTGAGCATCACTGGGAGTGACCAAAAAGAAAAAAGAATTGAAGGGGGCAAAGCAATAGTACGGTGGTTAGGACGTTTGCCTTGCATAGTGCCAATCCAGGGTCGATCCCGGGCATCCCATTTGATCCCCCAAGCACTGCCAGGAGTGATTCTTTAGTAGAACTAGGAGTAAACCCTGAGCGTCCTTGAGTGTGACCCAAAAAAAAACAGTTTAAAAAAAGCGAATTGAAATATAGTTCACAGTAGTAATGAAGTCACTTTTATTTGTAGAATGCTACACCAATCCAATTAAAATTTTCCCACCATTTTTCCATGCTGAGCTAGTATATCTGTTGGTCATACATTTTGTTTTGGCTTTTCATGTAAAATAGGTCTACTTTGTTGTGTTAGGTTTACAGTGAGTCTGCTATATTCATCTTGGCAGAGCTGATGGACTATGTTTCTAAGGTTATAAAGCTAGATTTGTGAAATGGCTACACAAGTAGTAGGTAGGGTTGTGAATTTCATTTGTCTTAACAGCTAAGCTCAATTATGTTTGTCTAGAAAGTGCTTAAAAAATGTATTGGTTTTTAGACTAGACCCTGCTGGGGGCTTTTCCTATTGATCTTTAGCAGTTTTTAGGGTATTGGAGATCAGTCATATCCAGGCCAGCAGCGCACATGCTGTTTCCCTGGTGCAGAATTACTATCTCTTTGGCATTTAGGGGCCACACCTGGTGGTGCTCAGGGCTTAGTTCTGTCTCTGCGCAGGTTCCATTCCTGGCAGGTGTCAGACCATGTGGGATGCTGGGGATAGAAATTGGGGTTGGCAGTGTGCAAGGCAAGGGGCCCTATGCTATCTCCGGCCCCCAGGAATTCTGTTCTATGAAAGCTAAACATTAAAATGTATTTTAATTATTTTTTTTGGCCACACCCCTCAGAGCTTATTCCCATGTCTCCATGTAGGGATCACTCCTGGTGGGGCTCAGGGACCCTGTGGGGTGCTGGAGATTGAACTGCATGCAAGGAAGCGCAAGGCAAGCCCCTTGCTTGCTCCTTAGAAATCACAAATCACGAATCATCCTGTTATTCGTCGATTGCCTCAAGCAGTCCCCAGTAACGTCTCTTTCATCCTAGCCCTGAGATTATATTCAAGGCTCTTTAGGAGAATGAGACCCGTCATTGTTACTGGTATTTGGCATATTGGGTACGCCACGGGGAGTTTGCCAGACTCTGCCCTGTGGGCAGGCTACATTCGATAGCCTGCCAGTTTGTCCAAAGTAGGAATGAGATAATAACAAGATCCTCCAAACTCCAGTAGGCGGGGGTCACACCCACCAACTGGCCCCCTGGCGCCGTGTAATCCCATCAACGGCCAAGACCCAGAGACTATAAAAACCAGCTCCCGGAAGAGAACAGTGCAGTCTCCTGCCCCCGCGCCTGGCTGCCCTCGCCGGAGCCCCTTGGAGGGGAGCGGGTCGAGCTTTCCTCCCTGCCCCCACCAGGGCTCCGGCAGGCCAAAGACCTCCAGGACCAGCCACCACCATGCTGAGACCACTCCTTAGAAATAAGAATTTTTATTTGTTTTTAGTGAAGCAGAAGTTGTGGGTGGGTGGGGAGCAACACCAGGTGATGCTCAACGGTTACTTGTGGCTCTGACTCAGGAATTTCTCCTGGCAGTGCTTGGGGTTCTCATACGGAGAGGATGCTGGCTGTGTGCAGGGCAAGCATGAAAGGTGTGAGGGGAGAAAAAGAAAGGAATATGTTTTCAAGAGAGAAGTGGACTTCTCCAGAGTGGAAAAAGCCCCTAAAAAGAATTTCTAGTTTTTGGACATACCCGATGGTGCTGTTGCTCTGGCCCTAAACTGGATTTTAATTTATTTTTTGGGTCATACACAGATGGCGCCGGGAGGGCGGGGGGTTTACTCCTGGCTCTGTACTCAGGAATTAATCCTGGCTTTGCTGGGGCGGATCTGGGGTGGCTGGGGATTTAACCCGGGTTGGTCATGTGCAAGGCAGAAGCCCTTCCCCCTATACTGTTGCTCTGGTGTCTAGAATTTTTAAAGCTGAATACTCAGATGTCTTTGGGGACTGAGGAAATATATCTCGAAGGGCTGAAGCATAAAGTACGTGTTTTGTGGTTAGAAAGTGCACCCTTTAGCACCTCCATTTGATCCAGCAGTTTTTTGGTTTTTGGACCACAATTCGTGGTGCTCAGGGATTATTCTTGATGGTGCTTGGCAATCACATGTGCTGTGACTTGTGACATTTTTCAAGCAAATGCACCATTTCTCTGTCCCTGAAACAACTCTTAATTCTGATTATGCTGGAAATCTAATCTAGGACCTTATATGGGAAGCCTGTTCTACAATATACCTGGGCTGTATTCCTGATCCTAGCAAGTATTGAATAAACTGACTTTTGTTTTAACGTTGATCTCCATATTTAACATTTCTTTCTGTTTTCCACAAGCAGAACAGGATAATTCAGACAACAACACCATCTTCGTGCAAGGCCTGGGCGAGAATGTTACAATTGAGTCTGTGGCTGATTACTTCAAGCAGATTGGAATAATTAAGGTACTTGCAGAGCAGAGTGGTAGTGTCTCATTGTGGGGTTTTGGGTTTCACACAGTTTACATTTTTTAAACAAATGGCAGATGTCCTAAACATTTGAATTTGGTAGTCTGATTTTCAGTTAATAAAGTGGGAAGCCATTGTAATCAATGACTTTCAACTTAAAAGTAGGAGATGGGGGTTTGGAGCGCGTAGAGTGTTTGCCCCTGGGCATCCCATATAGTCCCCCGAGCACTGTCAGGAGTAATTCTTGAATGCAGAGCTAGGAATAACCCCTGAGCATCGCCAGGTGTGACCATAAAAGCCCTTCTCCGCCTCCCTCCCCCCAAAGTAAAAGTAGGAGATGGGCAGTAGTAACTTGGAAGAGAGGAACTGGAGTTTGGTTATGATAAACCTTAGTTTATGGAGGAGGAAGGCGGAGGGGGGGCGCGGGGGATGAGTTTTATTCTGTAAGACTGATGTAATTCATGTTGCTTTTCTAGACAAATAAGAAAACGGGCCAGCCCATGATTAATTTGTACACAGACAGGGAAACGGGCAAGCTGAAGGGAGAGGCAACGGTGTCATTTGATGATCCCCCTTCTGCTAAAGCAGCCATTGATTGGTTTGATGGTATGTCTGGGGATGTTTGGGTGGGGATATGCAGCATCTATCCTTGGGAATGGGCTGCATATTGAGGGTCCCTTTGAATGGTATCAGTTATCTGGTACTTCTGTAATGGTAGTTTCTCTCTAATGATAGGTTCTCTTGTGTACATACCTCACTAGATTCTGAACCTGTACAGGAAGTCCGCCTTCTTGATCTTACTGTCCTTTTGACGGAACATAAGAACATGGTGTCAGGGATTGAACCTCCTATGTGTGAAGCATATGTTCTGCCTCTGCAGTATATTCTCACCCCTACCTGTGTTTTCTATTTTAAAATATCTCCTTTATTGCTTTAGGTAAAGAGTTTTCTGGGAATCCTATCAAGGTCTCATTTGCTACTCGTCGTGCAGACTTCAATAGAGGTGGTGGGAATGGTCGTGGAGGACGAGGGCGAGGAGGTGAGGGACGGCTTCATTCTGCTGGTGGAAGGAGGTGTTGACGAGGGGTGGGTGGTCAAGGTTCGCATGGGGCAGGTTAGGGTCATCAAAGTTGGCATGGGAACAGACTCATTTGGATCTCCATTAGGACCCATGGGCCGTGGAGGCTATGGCGGTGGCGGCAGTGGTGGTGGCGGCCGGGGTGGATTCCCCAGTGGAGGAGGTGGTGGTGGAGGACAGCAGCGAGCTGGGGACTGGAAGTGTCCTAATCCGTGAGTGAAATTTACTATTTTTCTTTTCTCATTATAAGCACGAGAAAGGAGAAGTGTGTGCCCTTACTAGTAGGACACAGTTGTTTTCCAAGGCCACACTGTGGGGTCTTGTTTGACCAAGAGGTTATACCTTTGTAAAGTTGTTGCGTTTGAAAAGGTACTGAATTCCATTAGGATTTTGTTGTGACATTGCTTTTCTGAAGCGAACCCTTTTTTGCTTCAGTGATGCTTTACTTTCCTTATAGTGAAGCCACAGGAGTCTATTTCTAGTTGTAGATTTTGTTTCCTCCTGCTTCTGCACTCCTCCAAACTGTCTTTTCCTTAGGACTTGTGAAAACATGAACTTTTCTTGGAGGAATGAATGCAACCAGTGTAAAGCCCCTAAACCAGATGGCCCAGGAGGGGGACCAGGAGGCTCTCACATGGGTAAGAAAAAAAGCTAGTAATGGGCCAGGTGATACTACAGTGGGTTGTATAACCTGGGTTTGATTGCCGGCGCCACATGGTCCCCTGAGTATTGGTGGCCCTGTAGGTTCCTGAGCACTGTTGGGGGTTGGTTACCTAGGTATCCTGGCTCAGCAGGGCCTGAGTGTCACGCTTCCTTGGGCCTTTGGACTGACTGTTCTAGGCTGGAGGGTAGTAGGTAGTAGGAGGGGAGGGACTTGAGGAAATTATACCCTGTTTGTTCTTCTGTCCTAGGGGGTAACTATGGAGACGATCGTCGTGGTGGCAGAGGAGGCTATGATCGGGGCGGCTACCGAGGCCGTGGAGGGGACCGCGGGGGCTTCCGAGGGGGCCGGGGTGGTGGGGACAGAGGTGGTTTTGGCCCTGGCAAGATGGACTCCAGGTAAGAAAGAGTAGAAACTGAAATAAAAGACCACACGGATGACTGGGGAGGATGGGTTGCAAGGTTTCATTAGGAAAGTGGTTTCATCTTGATGGGTTGGTTGCAAAGAGCTGAGATGTAGTGGGGTAGAGGAGGGGAGGAAAATTAGCCTGGAGGGAATGTTTATAGAATATGTTTGTAGAATAAACGTATCTTGGGGTTGAGTAGCAGGACCTCAAGCAAGGGGTCTTGGGGTGTGAGCTTGAAGAGGTGGCAACTCGGACCTAATGGATGCTTTTTCTTCCAGGGGTGAGCACAGACAGGATCGCAGGGAGAGGCCCTATTAGCCTGGCTTCGGAGGTGCTGGAGCAGCTTTTCTTCCTGTACCCAGTGTTAACCTTCATTTATTTTGTAACCTTCAAATTAGTGATCGCCCGCTGGTTTTTTGTGTTGGACTATGTAATTGTAACCATACCTCTGGTTCCCATTAAAAACCATTGTTTTAGTTAAATATTTTCCCTTCCCCCCTTTTCTCTCCTGGAGGATTGATGTATGCATCAGGAATGTGGGGAACTTTTACTCTTTCAGGCATCCTGCCAAGCAGGAACTGGAATAAAGTGTTTGATACTGGTTAAGGGGAGAAAAGGTCAAGTAGTATCCTTGTAAATAGTGATAAAACCATTGTGTTATGGCAAAAGTCTGATATGTAAATGAGGTTAAAAATGGGATATCATGAGTGCTGCCCAAAATGTATCCAGCTTGGGGGATTTACCACTTTCATATACTTATTGTGGGTGGTGGTGGTGCTGGCAGTGCTGGTGGAGGGTTGGGTGGGGGGGTGGGTGTCGGTTGGGATGGGAATATTTTGTCACACCAGGTGGTGCTTAGGTTACTGTTAGAATGACCCCTGGATTTGGGGGATTCCAACTGGGGAGTCGGGAAACAGGTCGAGTTGTATGCATGTATTGTGTATCATTTTAACTTTATTTCTAAGGGTGGGTGGGGGAATGTATAAGTTTGCCTTGGACAAGGGGGTAAAGCAGTCATGATGCCAGAGCACAGGATTAGAACCAAATTGATTTTTTTTTTTTTTTTTGCTTTTTGGGTCACACCTGGCGATGTCAGGGGTTACTCCTGGCTCTGCACTCAGGAGTTACTCCTGGCGGTGCTCAGGGGACCATATGGGATGCTGGGAATCGAACCCGGGTCGGCCGCGTGCAAGGCAAACGCCCTACCCGCTGTGCTATCTCTCCAGCCCCAGAACCAAATTGATTTTTCTGCAGGGAGTAGAGTAACTTGAGTCTCAGCTACAGAGCTGGAGTTTTTCTCAATTCTTAGTCCCTGTACTGCCAAAAATAAGATGTAGTGTTATTTGGCTTCAAGTTAGAAAATACTACTAAGTTCTCATTGAGATAGTACAAGTACAGTGGGTAGGGTGCTTGCCACATGTGAGTGATCTGGGTTTGATTCCCAGCATCCCATAATAGTCCCCTGAGCCCCCCAGGAATGATTTCTAAATGCAGAGCCAGGAACGAGCCTTGAGCACTGCTGTAGTAGCAACAGTTTTTAGTTTCCTGACTTTCTGTTCTCAGTGTTTTCATTCTAAAAGTTTTGTTGTACTTCAGGCTAGGACTGCTGGCTGAGTGAGTGGGGTCACTCCCAGTAGCGCTTGGAATAGTTGAACCAGCTTTATGCTAGCATGAGCTCAGCCCCATGAGTTCAACACCTAGGTCCTGAAATAACTGGGGAGCAGATTCATACCAGGCATTTGTTTGGGCCTTAAGGTGCTTGGACTCGAGGTGAGAGATTTGGGAGTGAGATAGATCCCAAATAAGTGGGATTGAGACAAGGGAGGTGGAGGCTATCTGGGTAACACAAATCAAGAATGAGATAGGTTTTTTGCTTTTGTGTATTCCTTTTGGGTCGCACCCAGCGATGCTCAGGAATTACTCCTGGCGGTGCTGGGGGCCATATGGGATGCCGGGGGTCGAATCTGGGTCAAACCTGGGTCAGCTGCATGCAAGGGCAAATGCCCTAGCTGCTGTACTATCGCTCAGGGTCAACAATGAGATAGGTTTGAGTCTCAAATGGCTTGAGGCTCAGGCCCTTTCAAGGGGGAGAGGGTGAGAGTCTTGGAGATACTGGAAAAAGGCAGTTCCAGTGAGGGAAACTTAAGGAAAGTTCTATTTCTGAATTGCTCTCTGAATCCCAGATCTCCTTTTCTCCACCCAGTGCTGCGCAGTGTGTGCTGAGATTGAATGCAGGACTTTGGTGCACAAATCATGTTCTCCGGCTTGTGGAGCTATCTTTGGCTTCCATTTCTTGTTCTTTTTTCTTATTTGGGTTTTTGGGGCACATCTGCAACCAGGGGTTACTCCTTGCGGTGTTTGGTGGATCATATCGGATGCCAGGGATCAAACCTGGGTTACTCCTGGCTCTGCACTCAGGAATTACTCCTGGCGGTGCTTGGTGGACCTATGGGATGCCGGGAATTGAACCTGGGTTGGCTGCGTGCAAGACAAACGCCTTACTGGCTGGACTTGACGCTTAGGCCTGTCTTACATTTCTTAAAAATTTCTGTTCTTCTCTTACATCAAGGTGCATCTATCTGCTTTCATGGAATTGAAATCTTAAGGTTTGACGCCATGCCTGGCAGTGCTTAGGGACTTGACTATGACTCTGTGCTCAGGAGTCACTTTGGCTCAGCTTGGGAGACCATACGGGGTGCTGGGGATTGAATTTGGGTCAGCTGTTTACATGTAAAAGCTCTGTGTGCTGTATTGTCAATTCAACTAACAGCCCCCCCCTTTTTTTTTTCGATGGGGGAAGCAAGTTTTTTTAAAATTGAAACTTAAGATGTGAGGGAAGAGGGATCAACTATCTCGTCTCGCTAGTTTCTTTGCCTGTTTTCACACTGGAGAAGCCTGTGTTCTTCCTCTCTCCTCACATCGAAGTTTCAGTTATTAAAAAAGTGAATTTTTTTTGTTTGGCTTGTGGCACTGAGGGGGTCACAACTGACAAGACAGTTCTTGGTGCATGTGGCAGAGACGGGGTCCAAGTAATCCGGGGGGTGACTCCCGCTGGCCAGGGGCTTTGAGACAGAGCCCTCTGACGTCGGGCAGGTGCCGAGATGCAGTGCTGTTCATACAGTCTCCTCGAATGTTCCACGGTGGCTGAGGCTTGCCTGGCAGTTCGTGTACATGGGCATGTGTATTTCGCCGCATAATTTCACGTCAGTTGTGTTGTATCTCCTCCTCCCCGCCAGGATCCCATGGTGTGCAGCCATTATGGAAAGTTTTCTTTTTTTCTTGTGCCAGGGATTTCACTTTGCCACTGAACTGCATTCCTGGCCCTGTGAAACTTGGTTTTGTTTTGGGGTCACACTTGGAAGTTCTCAGGGATTGCGCCCAGTTCTTAGATCATTCCTGGTGGTGCTTGGGACAATATGGGATGCCGTGGACTGAACCCAGGTCAGCTGCATGCAAGGTGAATGCCCTATCCACTGCACTACCATTCTAGCTCCGTGAAACTTCTTTTTAACAATAAAAAGGGAAAAAACCTAGCTTGGCTGGACAGTAAGGGAAGGTTATATTTTGTGCAGCTCACCTCGCATATGACCCTCAAACACCAGCAGGGGTCACTCCTGAGCTCCAATTCAGGGCCAGGAGTATTGTGGCCTGTGGCGCCAACCCTTGCTTCCTCTCCTCCAAACCCTTGTGATAGAGGAAATGATTACGTAGTGAAACTTTTTTCAGTGCTTCAAGTTGAGGAAACGATAGTCCTGGCAGTCAGTTGTTGAGCATGAAAGAGCATTAAGGGTACTTGGCTGACAGACCAGCTTGCAGAGTGCATGGATCCGTGTGTGGAAGTGCTTTCCTTATGAAAATTGGCAGGTCGGGGCCCCCAGGAGGTAGGGAGCACAGTGGTCAGAAGTGTGCGCTTTGCACGCATAGGATCCTGTCTGGTGTGGTAGTGCATGCGTCATGTGCATGGCCTTGTCCGTGCCTCCTGCAGCCACTGCCCCTGGCACTATGCTCCCCCGAGTTCTGCCAGAAGAGGTTGAAGGATCATACGGAGTGCTGGCGACAGAACCCAGGTCAGGATAAAGCAAACTGAGGAAGTTCGTTTCATTTTCATCAGGGGACCTGAAGTAGGAAGCAGTGATGTCAGGAAGGGGATTCTCCCCTGCCCCATTACTAAGCTGATTAAGAATATTCTGGGTTCTCAAATTTTTGGGGGGCTTGAAGGGTGGCTAGGGTCACACTGGTGGGCCTCCATTTACTCCTGGCTTAGGAATCAGTTCTGGCAATGTTTGGGGGGCCGTGTGGGTGCCAGGAATTGGACCCCAGTCTGCTGCATGCAAGGTGAACACCTGCCGGGCTGTCCTGTTGGCCCCTCTGACTAAAGCCTTCAGGTCTGGAGCCAGTGTTAGAATTTTCACTCTGTAGAGCAAGCATATCTGTGTCCTGTGGCTCCTGGATTTTTGCCCCCCCCCCTCCTTTTGTTGTTGTGGAGAACCTTGGGGAGCCCTGTTGCTTGGGGACTGAATCTTGCTCTCATACACAAGGTGCCCCCGTTCTTGGAGCAATCTCAGCCCCTGATCTTTCTGAAAAGAATGTTGCTTTGAATGACTTCATATTTGTGCTTCACCCAGAAAAGTTCTGGTGGCTTTAGTATGGTCTCTGGGTCCCTGCAGCTAGGAGTGAGGGAGGTTGAAGTCCTGGAGGTCTGATTACTGCCCTTTAGTTTCTTGGGACTGAAGAGAGTACAGCAGGTAAGGTGTTTGACTGCATGCAGCCCACCTGAGTTTCATCCCCAGCACTCCATATGGTCTCCCAAGACTCCCAAGAGCGATGGTGAGTGCAGAGGCAGGAATAAGCCCTGAGAAGTGCTGGATGTGGCCCAACCACCCCCACCCCCACACAAAAAAAAAGTTGGACTTTCTTTTTTTTTTTTTTTTGAGGGGACCCTGGGACCCATTCTTTTTTTTTTTTTTTTTGCCACACCCAGCATTACTAAAAGGCTGAACTCCTGGCTCTGCACTCAGGAATCCCTGCTGGCAGGATTTGGATGGTGGGGGGGGGGGGGATGGGAGACACAGGAGACCATGTGGGGTGCTGCGACTTATCGGGTACATCTAAAGCAGGAACCCTTGGGAAAAAAAAAAGCTCTGCTGGCTGTTTTATCTCTGCTCCCCCTGGGATCACCCTTTGACAACCAGACTATGTAGTTCAATGTTTAGGCACAGTGATGGGGTGTTGCTTGGCTGTGCTGGGTGGCCTCCAGAGGTACAACTGGCAGCGGGTGTTGGTTCAAGGCCTTAAAGCACTTTCCTTGGATGCTGCTGATCTGGAGATCTGCTGGTTGCTGCTATTTAATTTCTTGGGGCCAGGGCGAGTATAGTGGGTAAGACCTCTGCCTTGCACACGGCCAACCTGGGTTCCATCTCTGGTCTTTATTGTCCCCAACCCCTGCCAGAAGTGTGACCTAGGGAACCATATTCAGTGAGAGGGATTGAATCCGGGTCACCGCTGCCCTGACCTGCAAGGTGTGTATTCTGAAAACAGGTACCTGTTCATCATTTGAAAAACTCCACCCCCTCTCCCCCATGGTGCAAAAAAATTGAACCCA